AAGTATGATGTTGTGTCATCCCCCCATTAAAATTGGAGTTAAAAATTGTGTTCCCCAATGTTAATCAAACTATAAATGAATGATATGAATAATGATGCATTCATGATTAAGTAGTACTAATTGTAAGTAGTTTCACCAACACCTTAATATTAGTCTGTATGTCTGTCATTCACTAATTTTTATTAGCAAAAGTTAGCTACCAAAAGGTCACTTAGACAGCAATGAAAATATTGCAATATCTGTGGGAAGTATGATGTTGTGACCCCCCCCACCCCCTTTTAAAATTGGAAGTTTCTCAATGTCAATCAAACTTACCAGATTTGTAAAAATCTCTTTCAATTCTAAAATTCAATAATAAAATGACGGTGTAGAAATAAACAGGTTTTTCCATTGAATCTTGCTAATGCTTAAGTTCGAAGACAGAATAATACAAATAGATATACTGTACATCTATGCTTGTGCTATGTTTGTGTGCATGTTTAATTTTGTTATTACAAAACATAAGTCTGAAACGACGTACTAGTGAATGCGTTGGATTTCTAAATTAGTGAAGTTCATTAAATGAGCACATTTCAAAACTAAATAAGCCGAAGCTGAATGATTAATATATATTCAGAAGAAGCTCATAATAAATTAGTAAGCCATAATAAGCTGTAATTGTAAATTTGTGAATTCAAGATTCAAGTTCAAATTCTGTGGATTCAAGAGTGTAAACTTTTCAGTTATCACCAATGATATATGTATAATTTTGTATGTTATTAATTATGCAATATATTCATTCCAAATTCTACTAATGAGTGTATCAAAATATATAGGATGGATCCCGGATAATTCTGAATTTCTTACATATCTGCCATATTAGTTGTAGACAACGTCAAACCTACTGTCTGAGATTTGAAAACATTCAAAAGAAAGTATTCAACCTTTCATCATTATAACTTTTAACATTAATGTTTCTATTATCAAAACTGTGTAGCAAATGATTCTTATAGATTTAAAAGTATCTTATCCTTCGTAAAAATAATTTTGATTTTTACATAATTATTTGTAATTGTCTTTCATGTTTTTACAAAATTTTCTGTGTGAAATTATTTGTTTCGAAAAGAATATTGAATCCCATTTTTATTTATGCATATTTTTATTGTGTGCGATTCATACATCATCTGCAATAAAAGTTTTTAACTTAAAACTTCATGTGTGCATATATTTCCTAATTACTTTTTATTTGCTTATTTAATTATATATGATTAAATAATGCATAAACACTGAAAGAAATAATGAAGAAATAAGCTGTAGAGTTAAATGAAATAAAATTTTAATTTTCGAAAATTTCATTTGAAAAATATATCGGGGAAAAGTTTAAAAGAAAAGATATCCAAAATAAATATAATTTAGAGAATAAAATATAAATATGTCCCTTTAATAAAGCCATTTGAAATAAATAAAATTGCATATTAAAAAAAAAACAAAATCATATATACTTAAAAAATTACCAGTTTTTAAAATATATATATATAAATATAAAAATATAAAGATAAAGCAATCACACCACCAAATAGTGTCAAGTATAAAATGTTTTTAGTTTTAAAAATAAATAGTAATAATTTTTTTCGCAATTTTCGACTACGCTGCAAATAATAACGATTGTTTCGAGATTTTCAACTACGCTCCAGATAATAACAAAAATTTTTTCAAGATTTTCGATTACGCTCCAGATAAATAAATAATAATTTCAATGAAAAAAATTTTAGATGTTAAGTGTTAGGATTTTTAAGTTATGATGCAACATATGCACATACATCAATTTAAGTGTATTTAGATAAAGTCATCCTGAATTGAGTTATGATTTAATAAAAATGAACTTTAAGATGCTTAAAATCGCAGATTAAATATCCATGCAGATTTCTTTCTAAATTATGATTATAAATTATTAACAATTGAAACAAAATAAAATATGTACTGAAGGCATTTATAAAATTATTTTTTTATTCTAATGCAGCTGGCAAACACTTAGACAGCTTGGATGCCTTAAGGCAAGTGCTGCACAGATGTTATTCACTTTGCATTACCCAGGGGGCGCGTGTGACTTGAAGATAAGCCCCGGACGCGGAGTAACAATGCCCCCGCAACGCTTTATGATCCTATTAGGACCGGGACCTACGGTTTAAAATGGATTCCGAACCATTACAAACATCCATGGCACCGCCGGACTCGAACCCAAAACCTGTGGTACCGAGCGCTAGCCACTCGGCCATTCAGGACCCATTTATAAAATATTATATTTGATTAAAATTATATCTATTTGTTTATAAAACAGCTAAAGAGATCATTTTATAATAGTAGGAATTGAATAATAACTAAAAGGATAATAATGAGTTTCTTTAAAAATATTTTAAGTATTAAAGTTAAAAAACACAATATTAAGGAGATTTTTAAAAGAACAACTTTCTCCAAGTGTCAAGTATCCTCTTTATTTATTTATTATTATTTTACAAAAATATTAATCAACTCTTCTGGATAATAGTTTAAGATGTTTAGATATGATAATTATTTGATCTCTATGCACTTCGTCTTAAATAATTTATTAATTACTATGCACACAAAAAAATTCTGAATGAATAAATGAATACGAATTTTATTTCTGTTTAATATCAAAACCTATACTTTTTTTCATTAATTACAAGCGTTTCCTTTTTATCTATTATAATTAGATTTACCGATTATTTATTACTTAAATTAATAATTTTTTTGTGAAAACTCAATTTTTTATATTGTAATAATAATTTAAATAAATAAATTTAGTTATTTTAAATGTAATTGAATTAATATTCGTTTAGATGAATAACCATAAATATTTATTAAAATTTATAATTGAAATTAAGTGTAATAAATCAAATCGACAATCAAAATTGCCTGACAGGGTTCTTTGAGGAATTCTCCCCATAGGACATTCGAATGTGGGACAACGACTCTTAAAAACCTTCTTTGATGCCCTGTATGGAAAATACAGTACCGTAGTAACAATTTTGAATCGAAAGTCTCGTAAGATTAAATACAATACTACTTTATTCCGATTATCACAATAGCACAACAAATCATAATGTATGTAACTTAACACTTTGATTCAAGACAATTATTTGGTAAAGTGGGGAGTTATCTTTCTTGTTTGGAGTTCATTGTTTCTTCTCTTTTATATACAATTTAATATCATACAAATGAATTATTTTTTTAATTGCTAAATAATTACTACTGTGTCCAAGAAGTAACAATTTTCAATTTAAAATTCCCGGGGCTTATGGAATTTCTATTTTTTTTTTTTTTTTTTTTAGATTCTGGCACTGTCCTTGACATCTGTGTGAAATATGACGTCAAAATATTCATTAGTGTTTGAGTTACGCTTGGCTTTGTGAGACGCTAAAACGGATTCCGGCGATTTTTGAAAATGTCTGAATTCATTGAGCAAGAACTTGCATTCAATTTTGTGTGCGGAAACGTATAGAATATTGCAGAAGGCATTCGGTGAGCATCCCTACATCAGAAATAAATGTTTAGAACTGGTATAAACAGTTCAAAGAAGGCAGAGAACGCGTTGAAGACGAAGAGTCCTCTAGTCGACAATCAACCCCAACCGATGAAGCTCATGTCCAAAAATTAAAGATTTATTGCTTGCAAACCGTCGATTTACAATTAGAGACCTTGCTGATGATGTTGAAATTTCAAATTCCATTTTAAGAAATGTTTTGGGCCTCAAACGCGTCAAATCTTGATTGGTACCGAAAACACTGAATGCGCCAGCTCACACTGTCTTGATTCTTTGTGACATTTTTGGCCAAAAATGAAATCCATATCGTTCCACAACATTCGTATTCACACTGTGCGACTTCTGGCTATTCCGTAAACTCAAAATACCACTCCGGGCACTTTTTGAGTCGATTGAAGAGATCCAACGTGAATCGGCGAGCGCCTTGAAGGCCATCCCTGCCGCTGACTTTTTAGCATGCATTGAGGATTGGAAAACGTTGGCATAAGTGCATTGTGTCCGGAGGGGGATTGCTTTGTAGGCGATGAAATAAATTTGGAAGAATAAATAAAGAGTTTTTGGAAAAAAAATACTTTTACTTTTAAATAATTTTTTTAATATTTTTATTGCTTTTGAATAAAAATGCTTACTTTTTGGGCACAGTAGTATATGTATTTTTTACTGCATTTCTGTATATCTAATTAAACTAGGATTCATTTTATATTTATATTTTTCTTTGGATTTTTATTGTATTTATTATATATGTATTTTTTTGGGGGGACATCCTTTTACCAAAGTTATTGTATACTATGTTGTATACAGATTTAATTTCCTATACTATACGAGCTGTAACATCACGATATCGTGTTTGACGATTCAGCATATTACAATGGCAACCGGGTCTGATAATGCTAAAGGTCCATAAATTCTTACCATTTCCAATTAGTGATGAAAAACTATTTAAATATTTTGCCGTTTACTTCGTCAAGACATGATGCTGTTGAAGACAAGAAAATCCATTATTCAAGTAATCACAAACACTGTTAAGATTATTGTAAAAAGTAATTGAAAATAAAGAAATCTAAATAAGCGAGAAATATTTCTCCTAAACACGCCTTCAATACCTGTTAAATAATTTCATTGTAAACATTCCTTTATCTTTTATTTTATTTTTGACAGTCATTATACAACTAGATTATATTTAAGTGGTATCTTTTTCTTATCACTAAAGAAAATTTTTTTGACGTAAAAAATATGTTACAAATTTAATTTTTATTAAGTTTTTGTTGTTGTTTCTTATCCCACTTGGCTGGCCAAGCCCACGAGCCCATATACGTACTCATGATTGAACAGGAAGGAAGCAGCTTCTGTTGTGATGGAGCACCCCGTAGGTAGAAGTCTGACTTTGGCTCCGTGACTCTCTTACAGTCATAGGAGACCGGGACCTACGGCTTAAAATGGATTCCAAATTTGTGAATGCCAACAGCACGCGGTGTTCCCAGGTGGTCATCCACCCCAAGTACTGACTGCGTCCAATGATGCTTGACTTCGGTGATCTAACGAGAACCGGTATATTTAGCATGGTATGACCGTTGGCAGTTTATTATGTGAAAGCCTATTAAGTAAACGAATAAATTAAACCGCGTGCTTAATTAATTCAGCGATTTTCTTTAAAAAGAAGCATACATGCTATTAAGATTTAAGTTCTTCAAGAGCGTATAAGATTTAAACATTAACTTCTATAAAAAAAAATGGCTGAAATGAATAATTTAATTTAGTTTCAAATTACTGAGACGATGCTAATTAATGCACGTATATATTCTTCAGGAGTTTGGGGTCAGAAACTTTTAAAAAATGAAATTCAGTGGCGCCATCTGTTGTAAATCAAAAGAAATACTACGAGAGTTCAGATTGAGTGCGCAACCATATGGTCGGCAGTCCAGACAGCTGATGTATTTAACATAATAAATAATATAGATGGCGCTACTAGTATTAAATCCATGATTTTTAGTTAGCCCTGACCTTCAAAAGACACTTGTATGAATTTGACAGTTGCTGCACTATTAGTATGGGAGTTATAGCACTTTTAGTGTTCATCACGTGCAGTCTACTCGAATGACTGTCGATTGGTGGCAACTCCGGTGTGAAATGATGGAGCTATGTTTCATCCATTGTCACATATCTACGCAAAAATTCGGGTTTATTAACTTTGAACAGCTCCAAACACTGCTTAGAATAATCAATTTGTTGTTGTTTTGGGTCGATTGTGAGCTCGCGCGGCACCCACTTTCGCATATCCAAATATTCCTTCACGATGTGTCCAACACGTTCCTTTGATATCTTTAGGGTGTCGTTATCTAAATCAGCTTCACTTTACGGTTATCAGAAATTATTTTGTGTACTTTTTTTGATGTTTTCGTCTGTAACAACCTCTTTGGGGCGCCCACTGCGTGCATCGTCCCTCGGTGCTGATTTCGCCTGGTTTAAATTTAGCAAACCACTTCTCTACGGTTGATTTTCTGGCGCAAAGTCCGAATAATGTTTATCAAGCCAAGCCTTGGCTTCAATAGTATTTTTCTCCAAAAAAGCAATGCTTTATTAACACACAAAATTCCTTTTTATCCATTTTTCAAACTAGCAAAAGTTGCTTCACTAAAAATGCTATAACTCGCATACTAATAGTGCAACACCTGTCAACTTTATACACATGTCTTTTGAAGGTGAGGGCTAACTAAAATTCCTATGGATTTAATACTAGTAGCGCCATCTATGTTTCAGCCTATGAACATTTCAGCCCACCTGTAATCATTACTCTCCCTTTCTAGAATTACTCTAATTTTCTAGAAGATGAAGTGTTGTACATTTTTTCCAATTCTTGAACAGTGTTTTAACAGAAGAATATAGTAGAAGTACCATATTACGCAGAGTGTTTTCAGTTTCTGAAGCATATTGATAAAATTTTGTTATCGAAATTTGTATGAAGCTTAATTTAATTTATTATTATGAAATTTATTCTTTAAAATTTATGATTATGAAATTTATTATTACGAAATTTATTCTTTAAAATTTATTATCATGAAATTTATTATTTGAAATTTGTTAATATCAAATTTATTATTATGGAAATTATTATTTATTATGAAATTTGTATACAGTTTGTATGCAACGCTATTCGATATCTAAACTGTTACATCAAATTATTGTGACCACCAGTATAAAATAAAAATGCATCGTAAGAAACATCAGTAATATAAATAGCACATTGTATAAAGAATTGAAAAAAAAAAAAAAAATACTTTAGTTTTACAGATAGATAAGTGTCAATCTAAATTTAAATAAGTCCTTAAATTATCGAGATTTTGCAATATATTTCTATCGAATCATCTCTGTTCTTCTCAAGGCCACGTGGATGACTTGTTATCAGTTTGTATCAAAGCTATTTGATATCAGAGCTGTTACATCAGAATATTCGTGTTTAGTAAGTGTTAAGTTGGCGACGTAGAAGAAAACAAAGGGGAATGTTTTTTTCCCCAAAATATTACAGGTTCATGCAGCTGTCAACGCATTATCAGTAGGTAAAATATATAAAGTATTTATTATATGCTTAACAATTATTTTAGCATACCATAATTTCATCTAGTTATAAGCTTTTTCTTAAAAGAGAAATTTGAAGCGAATAGCTGTTTTATTTTACTATTCTATTTCTGAAATTTGAATTGAATTATTTAATTGTTTCAATTTATTTTTGATAAAAGAAATATATAAATTTATAAAAACAATTTACAATATAGAAAATATTATCAAAGAAGTGGAAATTTTCTTATAAATTACTATTATGTGATATGTGTAGTGTATTATTTGTATATTGTATTGCATTTATTTTTTTTTTTCACTGTATTGGAATATTACATATTCTATCCAAACCTTTAATATGCCAGTGATAAAAAAATTTCGTTTTAAAGTTATTGAAAAAAATTCAAATAAATTTTTAATATGTAAATGTAATTTATTGATTAAAAATGTATAATAACATAATCATGTGATCATGAATCATGATTCATAATTAAATGTATAATAACATATCCATAACTTATTCAAGTACCACACTGATATATTTTTGTGATAATCCTACAAACGTGAATTCTCCTTTTTAAACTTAATTTATAATCCATATATTTTTTTTTTTCCCCTACATAATTTTTTTAAATTAACACTAATTATACATACATACTTTTTATACTTCTAAAATATTTATTTATTATTATTATTATTTTTTTTTTTTTGTTTTTGTTTTTCCTTGTAGAATTCAATTTCTTTAAAATTAGTTAAAATGATTGTAATAATTGAATTTTATTACATTTTTTTACAGTCAAAAGATGGTAATTTTTAAATTTGAACATATACACTGACAAAATTTTCTTGTCTATTAAAAAATGTATTTCATTCTTGTTCAAAAACTCTTTTATTCACTTATAAACGATTTTTGCAAAAAGATTTTTTACCTTTAATAAGAAAAATGTTAATATTTTGTTTTGTATATCAATTAATTTCTTTTTTCTGATTCATAAAAAAATTAAAAATACTTAAAATGAATATAATTAAAAAGTAATAAATAGAATACAATCACTAATATATTTATTAATAATTTTTTTCAATGTATCGAAACATCACATATTCTGGCGAAAATTTAATATGCTAATAAAAAACTTTCGTTTTAAAGTTATTGAAAAAAAAATCAAAATGAATTTTTAGCATGTAAATTTAATTTATTATGATTCGTAAGGCAATAACATATACATTAATTGTACACACTATATCACACTGATATGCTTTATCATAATCATACAAAACCTTATGTTTTATTTTAAACCATATATTTTTATTTTTTCACTACATAAAAATTTTTAAACAGCATTATTCATGCATATATGCTTTTTATCATAAATATTTGATTTTTATTTTTCATGATTCATGTATATGGAATTCAATTTCTTAAAAATTATTAAAATTATTATAATAATTCTAAGGTACTTTTTGTCCCCATTTTTATAAACAAAAGATGATAGCAAATTTGAACATATAAAATCACGAAAAATTTTCATTTGTAAAAAAAAGGAATTTCTTTTTGTGCAAAAGAAACCATTTTATTCGCTTATGAAAGATTTTTGCCGAAATTTACTTTATCTTCCAGTAAAGAGAACTTTTAGTATTTTTCTTGCTTTGCATCAGGGTAACACCTTTTCTGATTCATATAAATTAAAATACTTGTAATCGAACAATAATAATGTAATAAATACAATAAAACCATTGTATGTTTTTTTAAATATGTGCGGTATTATGAAATTCTGGTTAAGTTGTATCACAATCATAATCATTATGCAACAGCTCAAGCGTGCATTGACCCGATTCTATATATTACATGATTTACAATTTTCACATCGAGAATATGCTAATACAATATAGTGGTAACCAAAATAATTTGCAATTAAATCTCCTGAAATTATAGCCCCAAAATTGCAGACACTAAACCCACCATAGAATAATTTTCTAATAAAATATTTATATTGAGTATATTATATTTTCACTTAATATCAAATTAAAATATTATCTACCAACAAAACAACAACATTAGTTACTGAGATTTGTAATTTATTCTATTGAGATAAAATTAAACTGTTAAGAAGCAGAAGAGTAAAATTTTTTAACACATATATATTTTCAGCACTCAAAACTTAAATAAAATATAAAAATATACAAACTATAATAAATAATGCTCATTTATTTTAAAATTCTATGCGGATTACGTATAACAATCCGCTTTGAGATGTCAATATTATTAAAATTATAAATGTTAGTGATTTTCACCGAAGCTAAATGCTATTCATTTCCATTTTATTTTAATTAAAAAAATTCATTGAAATTTATTTGTATTTCTTACAATTTCTACGTTTCTTATTCAAAAATAATGAATAAAATTCTTTCATGCGATTATGATTAATTCATTTCAAATTTCATTTAGCAATACAGATCAAATTTCATTTAGCAATACAACAGTTCTATTTAAAACAACATGTGATAGGTTATTTTTTGGCTGTATAATTTTTATATGTTGTGTGGTCTATAAAACAAACGTAAAAATTAACATAGATATGTTAATTATCGTAAATTAGTTAATATTAGTTATTCTTCAATATATACATATAAATATTACTTGCACATGTGTCTTCTAGTTATTAATTAGTCTTTGTCTATTTTTATCTTTTTCCTTTAGTGTTCTATCTATACATTTGTTGCAAAGACAAATTTATTCTTTAACAATTCAAGAAAATGTTTTGCCAGCTGCATTAGAAGAAAAAAAAAAAACAATTCAGAAAAATTAAAAATTAAAAAAATAACTAGATTAAATTAGAATTAATATTAAAAATTAATTAATTTATTTAAAAAATTAATTATTAAATCAAGATTAAATTAAAAATTAAAATTAATTCATTATTAATGTATAATTTAATCCATAGAATTTAGGAAAATTAATTAAAATTTAAAAATTTATTAATTTATAGTCCATGCGCAATGGCCGTCGATGTTGGCCGCTGC